ATGCGGACCGCGCACTCGTCTCGGCTTCATCGCCGTCGACTCGAGCCTCAACTACTTCTCGATCCCCAAGGACGAGGACGAGAACGGTGACACCAGCATGCTCGTTGTCAGCGACCTCGACGAGCCCTTCCTGCCCGTGCCCACCGATCTGCTCGTGCCCCTGACCGAGAGCCGCCAGAGCATCGAGAACTTCCTGACGAAGCTCCCTGAGATGTTCCAGAACAACCAGAACAATGGGTCTGCCCTGGGACCCGCCCTCAAAGCCGGCCACAAGCTCATCTCTGCTCTGGGTGGTAAGATTGTCGTGCTCACTGCGTCGCTTCCCAACCTCGGCGTCGGCAAGCTCGAGATGCGCGAGGACAAGAAGGTTCTGGGCACGAGCAAGGAGAACGCGCTCCTGCAAACGTCCAACAGCTTCTACAAGAGCTTCGCCGTCGAGTGCTCGAAGAACCAGGTCTCGATCGACATGTTCCTCTTCTCCTCCCAGTACCAGGACGTCGCATCCCTCAGCAACCTGCCTCGCTACACTGGTGGCCAGACGTGGTTTTACCCCGGCTGGAACGCCGGCCGTCCCGAGGATGCCATCAAGTTTGCCTCGGAGCTCAGCGACCACCTCTCGTCCGAAATTGGCCTCGAGGCCGTGCTGCGTGTGCGTGCGACTACGGGTCTGCGCATGAACGCTTTCTACGGCAACTTCTTCAACCGCAGCTCTGACCTGTGTGCCTTCCCGGCCTTCCCTCGTGATCAGTGCTACGTCGTCGAGGTCGCCATTGACGAGAACCTGACAAAGAACGTCATCTGCCTCCAGACTGCCGTGCTGCACACGACGTGCAACGGCGAGCGCCGCATCCGTGTCATGACGCTGGCGCTGCCGACGACCACGAACCTGGCCGACGTCTACGCCTCTGCCGATCAGCAGGCCATCGCCACCTACTTCAGCCACAAGGCCGTCGAGCGCGCGCTCAGCGGCGGTCTCGAGGCGGCCCGCGACTCCCTGCAGCACAAGCTGATTGAGCTTCTGCAGACGTTCAGGAAGGAGCTTGCCGGCGGCAGCATGGCGGCGGCCTCCAGTTCCCTTCGAACCTACGCGGCCTGCCCATACTGTTCCTCGGTCTCATGAAGAACGTCGGTCTGCGCAAGTCTGCTCAGATCCCGTCGGATCTTCGTTCGGCGGCGCTCTGCCTGCTTTCGACGCTTCCCGTGCCTCTGTGATGCAGTACATTTACCCGAGCTCTACTCGCTCACGACATGCCGGACATGCGCACGCGACCCGAGACGAGCACA